TTAATCTGTAATGCTAATTGTGATATATAAAAGTAAGCTTAGTTTATTTCCCACCTTTTCTCTGGGTAGTTATATTTCTTTATTTATGGATCTTTTCGTCTGTATTCTTGTAATTTTATAATGTTTGTGGTTTATCTGCTTTGTTTTCTCAGATATTTTGTATTTGTTGCAATCTTTTTTTAGTGAAGAAACAGAACATTTCATTAATATAATGAAATACACAAAACCACAAGCTATTGGCTGTGTTAAATACTTGTTTGTTCCCTTTATTGTCCAAATGCTTGGTGAAAATAATTACTATCCGTGCTTATTGGCTATGTTATTTTCGTCTTCAGTTGCTGCAGGCTTCTTATGATAGGGGAACGTAGCATAGACAATTGCTATTGAAACAAAACCACGAGCTAAATTTGATATTATAGGAACGTACTTCTGCATTTGTTAAATGTTTAATAAACTTTTCTGTTTACATTCTTTACATTCTCATCATCTCTCCCATAATTGACATGCCTGTGGTCTACTTCTCACTTGTAGTGAAATGTAGATCTTCGGCATATTAGAAAGATATACCGTGTGCAAAGTTGAGGATATTTTGGATTCCACTGTTGGATCATTTATTCTTTTTGACTCTTGAGTGGTTAAGGAATGTGGAATCGGTTATTCTTATCCATATAATCATATCCTCCTCCTCCTCTTCTTCTTCTTATTCTTCTCTCCTTTGGTGTTTTCACTTGAGTGAATGCATGCTGTTTTTCTCTTTCCTTTCTGCTGTTCATTCTTGTTTCTTTTTCTTTATTTTTGTTTCTTTTTCTTTATTTTCTTTTGAGTTTTGGAAGTTTGTAGTCTGAACTTGATACATTGACGACACAATTTTGGACTTTTTCCTTTCTTGGTTTTGTTTGTTATCCCTAGAGCTGTCATTTTTCTATTTTATTTTCAAATCTTTATGATGGCACAGTGCACCACTAGATAGATCTGTAGTTAGCGTTCGGAGAAGCCCGCAGTTTCGGTCTGTTGGATTTAGAAAACAAGATTTGTATTGTTAAGGTTTATGGTCATTAACACAAATCCTGCTTGTTAACATCTTTTTAATTGAAAACAGTGTGACAGGAGTTTAAGATAGACCCCTCTTCACGAGTAAAGAGAAAGAACAAAATTATAGAACAATTGACAAAAATCTTTTGTTGCTGCCCCAAGACTTAACTCGGGTATCTGTTTTGTTTTGGCTGGTGGTGCCTGAATGACTCCCCTCTCGCCTCTTTTTCTATATTTTGAATTTTTTGGGAACATGAGGAGATTTTTCTGTCTTTCCACATTTTGTCAAACGTATTGTTCTCTAACTTTAATTTGGAGTTTGACGAGTTTGACGGTGGTTAATTGGTGTATCATCGTTTAATTCCTTTATTTGTGATGCTTATGTGAAGATTGTTGTTTCTGTGCCATATGACATATAGGGCCTGTGCATGGGGGCAGTGACTCGGATTGAAAAGAGTACCATCTTTGCAACTATCCCAATCAATTTACTCACTGAATGAAAAATATGCCAATTATCTGGGATTAGAAGGCTCAGCAATGAATATTTGGTCCCTCGAGGTTGGATATTCTAGACTTCCCTACTAAATAATGAAATGACATGTGCTAGTTTTCTTTTCTAGGTTGGTTGACATCACTTTTAAAGGCGTCAACATGTATCATGTCGTGGGGATATTGATAGAATGTTCTTGAATGTCTGCTTTCAATGTGATTTAGCACTAGTTAGACTTTGAGAAAACTGTGTTCATTTGCGCTTATTCAACGAAAGAATGATCTGTAATGACTTTATGATCTATCTCTTACCATTTTCACCATTTAAAATGTTCTGCTGCATCGGTCATAGTTTGTATATAGGAAATAATCATGAATGCAGATAATCAATGACGAGCTGTAACATTCACTATTCAGACTTGTAATCTTATCTTACTTGCCCCATCTGGTCAACATGGTTGGAGAAAAGGTGCATTGCTCAGTAGGGGTGAACATCGGTTGGAGAAAAGGTGCATTGCTCAGTAGGGGTGAACATCAGTTGATTAGCGCCAAAATCAGCACCAAAAACAGACTATTCAGTTTTTATCGGTTAGAAACTAAAAATGTTTTAAGATTTGTACTCGGTTGGTCGGTTTTTAACGAACGGCAGAGGAAGAGATTCTATGAAACACAACAAGGATTGAGGTGAGAGAGATGGAGAAGAGAGGGGAAATAGAGAAAGAAAGGAGAGATAGAGGAATAGGAAAAAGAGGGAGGGAGAGGGGGAGATATTTCACATATTCATGTGATTCACGTGACAGGAGGAGAAATTTTTTTATTTGGTCGGAATGGCACCGCCACTCCGACCAACCGATTTTGGTTTGGTCGATTTTTTAGATTTATTTGTTCACTACTATGGTTCAGTAGTCTCGTTTACCTTTCCTTCATTGAAAATATAGCTCTGATGTTTATGATATGAGGCGTAGTGTTGAAGACTTTTACCTCTGAGAACTTGATTTTTAGGGACCATGAAGATTGAATTCCATGATTTTTAGCGGGAGAAACGCTGCAGCTGGGTAAGTTGAGTTGTCACTTCGAATCAAATAAGTTTGAACATTTGAAAGTGTGACGAGATGTAGGCCAACTACTTCTTCTTTTTCATTGCTTTTGGTCTTTTTTGGCAGGCCTAATTTTCTTGCAGTTCTCTGAGTGATGGGCCATTCTGTCCCATGTATTATGTTAGCATCAAATTATCCTTTTCGATGTAATGGGTCAAATTTGACCTCCAACTAACACCAACGTTTAAAGAATAGTATTTAGTTGCTCATCGATTAATACGGTTAATAGGTATCTTTGAATCCCTAAAGGAATAGAGAGAAAAAAGTATATATATTTTTTTCAAAAATAAAGATCTTTTAATTTTTAATGGTAGTAAATAGAAAATCACGTATTATCTAAATATTATTCATTTTCAAAATTAAAGTTGATTGGTTGATATAACTATTGGTTTTATATTTACTTAATTTTGAACTGATTTTCGACTGATACACTCTTAAAAAAAATATTAATTTGCTCCACCATATGACTAATGAACTATTAATTGATTCCTTTATTAAAAAAAAAAAGAACTATTAATTGATTAATTACTTTATAACCATTTGTGCAAGTTAGCCCTTGACTATAAAAGTTATAAGTTTTGATATCCATATATAGTTACTGAAGTTTATACTTACAAAAGTTATAAGTTTTGCGATCCATATTATTCTCTTGTTTTAAATTCATGCATTGAATTGATTATGAAATAATATTTTAGTTTCTGAAGTTTATGCTTATTTTATTTGTTTAACGTCTCATTGAAACAAATAAATAAAATATTATTTAGTAAGTTTTAACACTTTGTAAGTAATAATTGCGGTGTTCATTCAATCAAATTTGTACCAACTTTTGGTACAAGTTCAGGATGGAAGAAAATGCTCTCTGAATCTCCGCCATTAAAGCAGCATCGGAGGCCGCCGACGCCAACAGTTCCGATCCAAATACCGGAATAATCTGCAGAAGAGCCGGAAGGACGAGGCTCCCCAACGGCGGCGCTGATAACAGTGATGGAGCCGTACAGATCCGCCATGGTTAATGTTAACGATGATGGAGAGAGAGATAGAGAGGAAAAGCTGTAGATATAAGCAAGGTTTTAATTGTAACTGTAATTTAACAAATAAACCTTTCGCAGTTTCCAGAGAGATTAAAAATAATTAATATTAATATTCAATCTGTATTAGTCAGTGCCACCTTGACGAATGTTTAATTAATTTAGTGTAATTAGAATGAATTCCGGCTCTAGTAAGATCTCACAAAAACTAACAGAAAATAAAAGTTATTCTGAAAAAGTTTATAATAGATATGAGCTACTCTTCTCATTTTTCATTGATTTTGAGATGAAACTTCATGAATATTGATAGATTTTATTTAACTTGATGGTTCTGGTAAGAAACACTGAAATAACTTTGAGATCTAGTTACAAATGTTTGCTTCCGAAACCGTCGGAAAATTGAGATTGAAATTTAAGTTATCTGAAAAAATGTAAACAGAATTATGGAATAAGAAATGGGGATAAGGTCTCGTGATGGCGGTGATGAAGAGACAAGTTTTCTTGAGAGAGAAAGTAGAGAGAGAAGAGATAGAGAATAAATTTAATTTTTTCATTTTTAAAATTCTAAGAGTTCAATTATTATATATTTTTTTTAAATTTGAAGTTCATGGTGCAATTTTTTACTTTTATAAATGTCTGAAGGTTTAAATTTTACAATTGAAAATTTGAGGGTGTAATTGTAACAATCATCATACCTGTACAATTTTTTCAAAAGTTTAAGGGTTTAATTTTTAAAAATTGAAAGTTTGAGGGTGTAATTGTAACAAGTATTAAAGATGGTTTGTGCAATTTATCCTTAAAAAAATACCATCTATTTGATATCAACACACCACCTAAGAGAAAAGGGACTAATTTCAAGAAAATTTTACCTTAAAAATGATTCTAGATTGCTATGGAGGGAAATGACTATAAATGAATATTGTTTTTTTTTTTAATAAATTGAAGACACATTCATCAAGAGTTAAAATTCACTTAGACCACCCTTTTTTTTTTCTTTAATGGGAAAAAAAGAAGACTTTTATTAAGAAAAAAATAAAGACAGGCCATTCAGAAATACAAGAAATCCAACATAAACTTTCCTCTCATTCGAAAGTAAATTACCGTAGGCCACATTTGATGTCAGCAAGTATTGTTTATATATATATGAATTTCTATTTGTTGTATCATGTGCTAACATATGCTACGATCCAATTTGTAGAATTTGCATATGAATATGCTAAATAGCAAATTGGTTAATTTTTTGTACTACTTAAGAATTGATTTTGTTCGATTTTAATATAAGTATTTTATGTCACAATTTGATTTATATTTAATTCTGTGTGCTTGGAATTTGGATGGATATATGCCATATGGAAGAAAATATTGAATTAATGACTTTATTTTAAAAAAATATTTGTAACTATATATTTTCGTTTTGAAAAAAGTCAATTAAAATTTAACTAACTTACAAAATCTTTTTTTAATACAATTTATCGTTAGAAACTTACAAAAACTTATTTGAATGAGTAAATAAATATTTTCTAATTAAAAAAAAGTTATAAGGTTTTATTTTTATATTTATATTGATATCTAATACACCAACTATAGTTCAATTTAACCAACTTATTTTCAAATTGTCAAAACGAACATAACCCAAAAAGAATTAACATATATCTCCAATCAAGACGTTGTGAATTCAATTATCTATCCCACGTGTTATACTAGAAAAGACCTATTTTCAAGTTGTGAGTTAAAACTCAACCTTCACATATTGTAATAAGGAAAAAAAATTACACTAGATATTTGATATATTAGTAAATATTTTGTTAGATAACCATACAACTTAACCGTAATTGACGTCAAAAGCGAGTATAGCTAAGCACTAATTGACATATATCTCCAATCAATAAATTGTGATTTCGATTCACCGCCTCCACATATTCTACTGACAAAACTTTAACTTTAATTGACACCTTCTCTTAATAATAATAAAAAAAAAAGGTTTTTCCAATTTAAAGGTAGAATCATTTCAATTCTTCGTTCCCGCGGTTCCTAATTACGATGGAATGTACAAGTCGTTATGAAATCAAATGAGCCACCTCCATCTTGTAATTCCTGCTGCAATCTCAGCGCGTAAAGGTCAGTAACGCCATATGTGAGTGGCGATTCTCTCCTCTCTGATTCTATTTTCGAAGTGCATTTTCTTGACTCTATTGCGCTTCGCATCTCTTTTACGCTCTTTCGTCCATCGCATTATACATTTTATATCTGCTCTTCTGTTCAATTGGTACTCTACACACTAATTTCAGGCTGATACTTGGCGAATCTCTTTTGTCTCGCGTAGACATTTATTATTAAGGTTATTCGCATCTGAAATTTTTGTTTAGTTGGATTTTCATTCAATTGATGCAACTATGCACCTATTTTAACATTCATTTGATTCAATTACAGTGTCAAAATTAGCGCTAATCAATTCTCAGACGAATCACAGCATAAAGAAGAGAAACGATTACATATGATATACGTCATTTCAAAAGGGAGTCCGCGAGAGTGTAGGTACAATTTTTTGATTCTTTTATTACATTTTCATGTATGATGGACTGATTCAATAGCACACCTCGAAAGGATTTCATTTTTTATCTGAATTTGCACAGTACAGGATTCCTCATGAGCATGCTACATTGAAGAAACGATAGTATGTATTATACGTAATGGAGTTTGAATTCCAAATTATGGGATCATGTGCATTCAGGATTAGATATCATGTGGGTTGCGTAGAAAGCTGAATATACGGATGGATAATGGAAAATGTTAGAAAATCACGTAGTCACAGACTCACAAGATAGATTTGCATTGGTTTTAGTCTATTGGTAGCCACTAGAAAAAGAGGGGATGCATCCAAGGGATTCGTGGACAAGTTTTGAGCATTCAAGGTCTATTCTGCATCGTTATTTACGACAAATTCTGTCTTAAGATTTGCAAATATCCCGTTATCAACTTTTTTATGTGACTCAGATGACAGAAAACTACTTATGCACCATCACACTCACTCCTAATCATACTACTTGGTTTTGAGGCAATTTTAGAAATCTTAGCTTCATCTACTTCAAAGGAAATTGAAGTTTTAAGTGCTTTGTTTGGGTTGCTCAATTGAAAAGTTAGTCATTCGGATGGTATTTGAACAACGGGCCAGTTATAGAGTCGTTTCGATATATTTCACCAGGAATTATAGGACATAAGTTACAGCTTGTTAAGAACATTTATTCAGATTTACTACTAGAAAAGATAAGATTACCGAGGATATATAGGATTCAGGCTTCAGTAAGTAGGATATTACCTCTGCTGGTCACATACCATACCACCTTCCTATCTGCCGTTATATCCAGTATTCTTATACAGGGGTATTTGGACTTGACCAGCTTCAATTTTTTTGACATCTCGCTCTAGCAACTCATACAGCCTTCTTGCTTCCTCAGCTGTCTTCCCCCCACCAACCGCCCTCGCTACTTTCTCGAACCGGTCTGGTGTGTCCTGGTCATAGAAGGCCAATGCCTCCTCAAATTTCTTGTTCTCTCTTTTTGTCCAGGACGAGTAAAAGCCACGTGCTGACGTGACGGAGCTTGATGCCATTATTTTAAAGTTAGCTTGGCACTGAGAAAGGAGAGAAAGGGGAGTATGGGCGTTGGGATATATATGATATGATATCTTTTGGTATTTCACTAAAATCGACTTTTTTCACAGCTCAGAGTCTAACAGCTACAAAATGGGAGAATGCAAAAAGAGTGGGGAAAAGTATGTCTCAGTAAGGGGGGGAAGGAAGAAGTTGAGGGATGGTATGAGCATTATTGTCCTTTGCTCCTTATATACTGGAGGTTGAGGGGTTGTTTAGTGGAATCGGTGCAAGTTGACGAATATATATATATAAGGCTATAAGATATGATTCGTCTTGTTGAGCAGAGGCTAGAAAGAGTGTGTCAAGGGGACTGGCTGTAGTGAAATCTTTTGGAAAAAAGTCTCTTTTCTTTTCATTTAAAATATCATCAGCAAGTAGAATTTTCTCGAGAATTTACAGCCTGGTGGAGGATTAGATCCAATTCTTAGCCTATCTCTTGACAAATAGATGCGCCCATAACAAAAGTTTCATCCCACCTTTTGAATGTGTAAAAAAGGCCAATGAAACTTACCTTTCCTTTCTTTGGTTGAGGTTTTTTCTTTCCTTTTATTATTCAGCTACATGCTATAATATACCATACATATTCCATCTTTAGTATGATTATTATTCCTTCACTCTGAAATAGATACATAGCAACCACAAAACGACTTTAGCTACAGTTTCTTGGACATGACAAGTGCTAAGCTGAAAAGGAGCAAAGGATTCATCTTTCTGTGTCCATACACCCACATAGGTTTAAATATGTTTTAGTGCTTAAACATTTATCTTTTTTTTTTTCTTTCTTTTTTGCAATCTCCAAAATTTTAAAGTTCTGATTTTATTCTTTGAATCTATTCATTTTCATTTTGACCTTTCACATCTATAAATTTAATTATAGTTCTTCAGTTTTCTTTAAATTTAATTTTATGTCAAGTCATTGTCTTAAAATCTTACTCTTATTTATTGAAAATAGAGTCTAGCACCATCAATTATCTTTATATCATATCTAGAATAAGAATGATATAGGAGACTTTAACATAAAAGTTACCAGAACTAAAGTTGAAGTTTTAAAAGTTAAAAGAATGAAAATAAAAGTGAAAAAATTGCAAAATTTAAAGACTAAAACCGATTAACATTTGTATAAATTGTAGTTTAAAAGCAATTTTGTTTGAGTACAAATAATAGGTGAGAATTAAAATTCTCTCATTTGACTTTTTAATCGAATATATATGTCTTAAACCAGTTAAGTGATGCTAAAATTAATAAGTATAATTTATACTTAATGCGTGAGTTTTGCTTTTCTCAAATTTACGAAGTAAATTTCTATGATGTATTATTTTAACTTCTCAATTTCAGGCTTCAAAAGCAGTGAAAAATCTTAGAATATCATGATTGGAATCTACATTCTTTTAAAAGATGTGATTTTTCCTAAAGATTTCTGGATCCTCACAAACCCCCTTTTAATTTTGTAAAAAGAATGCATCTAACGTATATGTTACGTTTCGTGCTTGATTTTACGCTCTCAAGACTGGCTTACTACATCAGTCGTAATGATGAATTTGTGAATTTGTTAATCGTTTGAGTTTACTGTGAAAGTAACCTTTGACGTTTGAATATACACTTAAAGAAATTTCCCGGGCTGTGTTGGAAATTACACGGTCATGCCTCCCTAGACTTTACAAATTTGATCTTGTCGAATCCCTCATGGAGAATTTGGAAATTTAGCTATTCCAGCCGCAAAGCTCAATCATTGGAAAACCAAAGATCTTAGGCGCTGGAATTGGATCTGGAGACTGATAAAAAAGAAATGGGGGTTAATATTAGGGCTTTTTGGTTAAACTTGCAGCAGAACTGACGATAAGGTTACTTTTACTTTATTGCAAGATGCAAATATTGGAAACTTTACTTTCAGAAAATTACAAAAGGGCCTAGCGTGTTCATCCAGAATTTTGGAAAAAATCATCTCCGTACGGTCCTATCGGGAATCTAGAGCCCAAAAATAGCTGTCTTCTTCTAAATATGTAGTTAGGTTCTACAGCAACTTGGATGAAATCTGAATTGGTGCTAGCTATTGTTATTCGATCAATCCTGCGAAGGAAAATGAAGAATTTGTCGGAAATTTGGTGTTGAATTAGGAACCTAATTTTCATTCCAACCACTGTCAATACTTGCGACAAATGCTCCAGATAATTCCAAAGTAAATATTTTTTTTATTATCCAGGAGTCGACGGTCCTTTGGCCTTTATGACACTATACTTAGGGTATGCGCATTGTCCCTATAGCCACTATACCGGGTACATGCATTGTCCCCATACTCGTACATATACAAGGAGTCGTTGTTTGGTGGAAGTTGCGTCCATTCAAGACCTTAAGGTTATTCCTTGAGGTCCCAAGCCACCCAAACTATCATTTAAGGACAATTCTAAAGTAAATATTGAACTCACCAAACGGTGATCCCTAATCCTGTTACTTCGGAGTACTGCATAACTTAGTCATTATAGCTAATCATAAGTGATGATTAACCCAATTAAGTAGAGGTGGAGGCAGAATAAACTAAAAATTATGGAGCTCTAGACGGTTGATCAAGAACAACATGTTTACCGTTTTTGAGTCTCGAGATTAGTTGACGATTGCACCATAGTTGTAACAATGAGCATAGAAAGTAAGAAGAGATTTCGAGAAAATGAGTGCAAACTAGGTATTAAAATTTAATATATAAAGAAAACATAGTTTGATTTGGTCAAACAATAGAATTTAACATATCAAGGGTTTTTTTTTTTCTTTTTTTCAAATTTCTGAAAAAATAAGTGCTTCTTCCAACTCATTCAATCAAGTTGACTGGAGAGAGCCATCCCCATAGTTTATCTTTATTATATCTCCACTGACTTTCTTTCTGTTACAAAATTTCAATTGCTGATATTATTTCCAACATCCCAATTTTCTCTCGACTTCGCTCTCTCTGATCTCTCTCTGTCTCTGTCTAAAATGGCGAGATATAGAAAACCAGTGTTACGAATAAAGGTAAGATCTTATATTAGCATATAATTAGGAATGATTTGGTTTGATGACTTGATTAATTTTGGAAAAGCTGACGAATCAGGATGAAGATGATGTGGGGAAGAAGGCGATGTCGCTGGGACAGCACGGCGGCGCCGGAGGATTCCTTTGGGACGACGGAGTTTTCTCATCAATAAAGCAGCTGGTTATTAATCATGGGAGATGCGTCGACTCCATTCGGACCGAATATGACGACAATGGAAGCTCAATTTGGTCAAGGAGGCACGGTGGAAATGGTGGTTTGAGATCTGAGGTATGTGTGTGTTTCCACCCCCCTATTTCTGTTTCTTTTCAAGTTCTGAAACAAAATTTGTTAAAAATTCGATTAACTTCTTTGTGAAATTTATAATTATTCTTTGAATAATGGCTTTAAAATTTATTGTCCAGAAAATGATGCACGAAAATCATTTAAAAAAATGTAACCCAACATAAAATTATTTTAGTCAAAGTTATTTTTATAAGATGTGTTTGAAGAAAAAATATTTGTTTAAAAAATTATGAAATTAAAAATTGGGATCAATTTTTTAGATTTTCTAAAAGTTGTTATTGAAAATTAAAAAAAAAAGCAATTTTAATAAATCAAAAACCCTTTTTAACCCTCTAAAATTTAGTGAACACTACCAATTTTTTAATTTAAGTACTTTTTTGCACTTTTTTTTAGTGCTAAAGTAAGGGTGTAATATCACTTTAAAAGTTAACTTTTTGGACAATCCCTTTTTTCAAAAATGAATTTTAAAGCAATCTAATTTTAAATTTATTTATTATCAAATATTGTCGGATTTTTTAAAAATCACTTTTAGTTACCTAAAAGTACTTTAAAAAACTATTAAACACACTCTAAATTAGTAATTTTTTCAATAGTATGGGTAGAAAAAATAAGTTTTATTTAAAAAATCGGTGTGTATGTATCATTTTGGAAACTATATTTAATTTGTGTGACTTTGTTAGAAAATACTTAGAAAAAACTCACTACTTTTACATCAATTTAATATTTTTTTGGTCTTTATCGTGAACTTTGTGAATAAAAGATGATAATATGATAGGTACTTCTATCAATATATTTTTTAAATAATGTGTGTAATTGTGTTTGACAACAATTTTTATTTTCTTAATTCTATCTATTTTAGTGTAAACAAATACATTTCATAATCATTTCTTGATTACAATTTCCTCTTAAGAAATGACTTTGTTTAAATATACTAAAAAAAGAAGAAAAAAAAAACTCAACACTTTTGCGATTTTAATCTTTTTGTGGTCCCTATCATGCACTTCGTAAATAAAAATAATAATAACAATATAGTACTAAAATCAATATTTTTCTTCAAAAAT